AGAATCAGTAAAATTGAAAACAAAATTGTCACCACTGATCTGCTAGAGCAAAAAGCAGACTCAAAAAAGAAGGAAAAAGAAGAAAATCTAAGAATAATGTGGGACACCATCAAGAAAAATAACATGTGCATCATTGGAATCCAAAAAAAGGAAGAAGCAAGTAAAGGCACTGAAAAAGTTGTGGAAGAATTATTAGAGGAAAACTTCCCAGGCACAATGAAGAATGAGAGAATATGTATTCAGGAAGCTCAGCGAACACCATATAGATTCGACCCCAAAAGAAAAACATCAAGACATATTATAGTTAAATTTGCCAGAACCAAAGGTTAAGGAGAGAATTCTGAAAGCAGCAAGGGAGAAACACTTGATCTCATAGATATTTATAGGCTAATGAACCCCAAAAAAGCACAGTATACCTTCTTCTCCAATGTGCAAGGAACATTCTCAAGAATAGATCACATTTTAGGTCACAAGGAAAGCATCAATAAATCAAAAAACATACAAATAGTACAAAGCATCTTCTCAGAGCACAATGCTACAAAATTAGAAATTAATAACAAGAGGATAAAGGAGAAAAAACCATACATTTGGAAGCTGAACAACACCTTGCTTCAACATGAGTGGGTACAAGAAAAAATAAAAAATTATCTTGAAACAAATGAAAATGAAAACACAACTTACCAAAACCTCTGGGAAACAGCCAAAGTAGTAATAAGAGGTCAATTTATAGCAATAAGCAAACACATCAAAAGGCAGGGGAAAAAAATGACCATAGATTGGGCTAGAGATAACCCAATATCTCCAACAAATTGAAAAAGAACAGCAAGAAAAACCAACACCCTCTAAAAAAACTGAAATTATAAAAAGTAGGGCAGAAATAAATGAAATAGAAAATGGAAAAACAATTGAAACTATCAACAAAACTAGGAGTTGGTTCTTTGAAAAGGTAAATAAAATTGACAAACCACTAGCACAACTAACAAAGGAAAAGACACAAATAATCCAAATAAAAGCTGAAAAAGGCAACATCACAACAGACCCAAGTAAAACAAAAAGAATAACAATGGAATATTATGAAAAACTATGCTTAAATAAGTATGAAAATCTAGAGGAAATGGAAAAATACTTAGAAATGTACAACCTACCTAAACTGAAATCAGCTGAAATTGAACACCTAAACAGACACATTACAAAAGAAGAAATTGAAAAGGTAATAAAACAACTTTGATATTAGGACCAGATGGTTTTACAAGTGAATTTTATCAAACATTCAGAGAAGAACTATTACCAATTCTACATAATTTCAGAAAACAGAAAAAAATGAAATTCTCCCAGACTCATTCCTTTTTTCTTTTTTTTAGATATTGTGGGGGTTTTTAATTAATTTTAATGACATTTACAGAGACTTAGGGTTTCCAGTCATTCATAGTTGCACTTTCCTCCCTGCCCACCCCTCTTTCCTTCCTATGCCATCCCTCCCCCCCAAGTCCACTGCATTGTGCAGCCTTCATTCTGGATTCCTGTCATGACAATAATACCTAATCATATATCTCTTTTAAACAGTTCTCTCCCTCATCTGTTGCAATGCAGTATACATCATTCCTTTCCTTCTTCTGTCTTCCCTCTACCCTAATATCAGTACTGTTTTACAATTAGTGACCTTATGTAATATTTGTCCTTTTGTGACTGAGAATTTCACTCAGCATAATGTCCTCTAGTGTCATCCACTTAGCACAGTATTTCATGTATTTCTTGTTTTCAGTGCTGCATAGTATTTCATTGTGTGAATATACTAGAGATTCTTTATCCATTCATTTGTTGATGGGCACTTGGCCTTTTTAACAAATGGTGTTGGCAAAATTGGGAAA